GAGAAGGGGACCTGAAGAGGAAGAGCAATCTGAAGGGCAGAACAGAGATGGTTTGAAGGGACGTCAAGCAGAAGACAGCATGCGCAAGGTGTGGCGAGGAACCTGCACTCCGGCAGTTATCATGCCATGAAAATACTTCGGGAATAACGCCAAGAGCTCTGTAGGAAAATAGTAAGAGTGATGGGCTAACTTTGGTGTGATGGTTCCTGAGAGTTAGAAGTACCCGCAGGACTTCCATGGAACTAGGACAATGTCATTTTCATTGAGCTGAATGTCACTGAAAGGACTATCAGGGACAGGTTTCTGATGAAGTACCTCATTGTATCAATGGCAGAGGTTTCCCTTGGCACAGCAAAACAGATGTTCCTCCAAGACGCAGGTACTCATGTCTTGCCAAGCAACCCACACACACAGATTTTGATAGATGACTGTGGCGTGGCAGCAAGGACGCTCCCACCGCTGCACTACTGCAGGGGAGCAGGGCACAGCAACTTTAGCTGCTGCCCAGCATTTTAGGAACAAGATGCTACGAGATGTCATCTAAGAGGCTCCGCGGTTAAAGACCAACACCTAAGACTCCACGTCTTAGGACAGGCTGAAGATCAAGAAATGAAGGCAAGAGACCAGCATGGCTGAGTTGAGAGCTGCTGGTCAAACCTAAAGGGCAAGAAGGAAACACACAGGCAGTGGAAGCAGGGATGGGTATCCTGGGAAGAGTATAGGGAACACTGCCCAGCTGTGTAGGGATGGGGTCAGGAAGGTGAAAGCGCAGCTGGAGCTGAGTTTGGCAAGGGACACAATGAATAATAAGGGCTTCTGCAGGTATGGCAGCCAGAAGGGGAAGGTCAAAGAAAACGTGCCCCCTGAGGAACAGGACTGGCAAACTGGTACCAACAGAAGGCTGAGGTATTCAACAGCTTCCCTGCCTCAGTCTGCACTGGCAAACTTTCTTCCCACACCTCTCGAGTGAATGGACCACAAGGACCAGAGTCCTGAGGGAATTGGCTGATGTAGTTGCCAAGCCACTCTCCATGACATCTGAAGAGTCCTGGCAGGCAGGTGAAGCCCCTGGTGACGAAAAAGGGAAACATTGCACCCATTTTTAGGAAGGGTAGATAGGAGGGCCCTGGGAACTACCGACCTGTCAGCCTCCCCTCTGTGCCTGGGAAGATCCTCCTAGAAGCTATGGTAAGGCCCACAGAGAACAGGGAGATGATTTGAGACAGCCATCATGGCTTCACCAAGAGGGGTGATGGGTGCCCCAGCACCTCTGCCAGGAGCAGTACGGGGGGGCCGCTGGCCAGTGATGAAGTTATATGCTTCAGGATCCTTCCGTTTGTATTATCTGACGTCTCACTCCTGTTTAAGAAATGCCAAACCTCCTCCCACCGAAACACCAGCTAACACTCAAATGACTGGGTCAATATTTACTAGCTCAGGGATTGCTGAAAGAGAGGACAGATTCTTCCAGAAGTTCAGCACACACACTATACACAACTGTAGAAGAAAATCTGATGGGAATGTGGAACTGATATTAGGCTCATTTTTCAGACAAGCAAAGCATCCAATGCTTTAAAAAACAATATTGGGTTAGGCCCCAGTCGTCCTAGTTAATTTGGACAGAAAATAATATCAATTTTGATGACAGAAAATTCCAAGTCAATTCCTCTGTGTATTGCAGTTAATGGCAAATTCTTTTCATCTTGGCCATTTTGTGATATGCAGCTAATTCCTGACATGCAACTTGCACAAGGTACTACCGAGCAGGGAACACAACAGAGGTTTTCTTTTGCGTGCTCACGTATTTACATTCCTTCCCTCCCTGTGAAAGGAAGGGATCAAGTATGTCAGCCTTCAAGAACAAGAAGCACATTCCCCTGTCACGTTGAGACAACTTTTGTTTAGCAGACCACAGCTCTGGGTTTTGGTGTGGGTCACCGACTGAAATCCAGTGCAACAAATTCTTACATTGCTAATTGTTAACGCAGGCATAAAATGTTAAGGAAGAAGGATTAAAGGCTGCTCAGGCATACCGGAGTTCCTTCCAACATGACAAATTACAGCTATTATTTTGTATCAATGAACTGTAATAATCTTGAATTCCTTGCACTGGAAGGAAAATTTGTTATAATGAACTCTGCTCCTATCTACCTTACCTTCTAGCCTGCGATAATCAGGGTACTCCCGTGGTAGGGAAGGGGACATCCCTCACGTCAGCTTTGCTCATCCTAATTTATTTAACAAAATACATTGGAAAAAAAAAAATCAGTCTTCCAATCAGACAATATGTTTGTTATGATTAATGCTCAAGTAGAATTGTTTACCGTGGATGTCTAAAAATGATGTGATTTTAAAAATCACATTTCCCACAAGAGTTAACATTTGGGCTTCAGAAACGGGGAAGAAAATCCAAATGCACCGCTCGCCCTTTGTGCGGCTGATCTTTGCAGGGAAAGTTTTAACTAAAGTAGTCACCACTTTGAAGTTCCTTGCTCGTTTTTGTAAAACCCGTTTCACCCCTGGCTTTCTGCGCTAGTATGAAGCTGACTGCACTGCCAGCCTCTTAGACTTGTTCAGTGCCTAAGTCCCAGTCGGATGGGAGCAGCTTGGAGTTCTCCTTTGGAATTAGCAGGAGGTGACACTGGATGAAAGCAAGGGTAATCCTCTCAGCATGCAATTCAGAAGCAATTCTAAGCAAGTCTCAAAAGATGAAATCAATTGAAGAAATTGATCATCTAGAGGTTGGTCCTGTGCTACTCAGCGTTTAAAAGTCCATCTGCACCGCCTCTCCCACTTGATCTGTGAAGTAGGTGCGCAGGGCTTGGCGTAGGTCCAGCACAGGGCCAGGCTCTGTGCATGCAGGCTGCCTAGGCCATGCCCACCCCAGCAGATCCTGGCTTACCAGGCTAGGGTTCCGCCTTTCTGGTAAAAGGGTTAAATGGTAGCCTCAGGAGGGGCAAAGAATGGCAGAAAACTCCTTTTTATTTCTAACAGCCACCTGCTCATACATTGCCATCAGCCCCATTTGTCAGTGCTCAGCATGAGGGATGGGGGTACTGGTCCCTGCTTCCTCCAGCACAGCCCAGGAACTCTGTTCTGCACCACACTGCCTCTAAGCCAGGGCTACAGCTACCCAAAAAGGAAGGGAAGCAGCATCCAGGGTGGCTAGCAGCCTCCTAAGATGTCCCCAGAAAAGCACAATGCTTACTGATCTTTATCAAAGAACCTGTCAAGTTGGAAGGGACCCCTAAGGGCCATGGAGTCCAAGTCCCTGCTCCTCACAGGACTATCTAAAGCTATATTGGATGGCTCTGAGCATTGCCCAGGTGCTCCTTGAACTCTGACAGGCTCGGTGCCACGACCACTTTCCTAGAGAGCCTGTTACAGATACTAAGGCCACACTGTC